CAGCACCATTTCCTTCCTTCTGAAAATATTAGAGCACTAGTTTCCTTCTCCTGACAATAGGAGTGAACATTCTCCAGAAAACAGTAAAAGAGTAAAGCAACAGAGTTTTCGTCTCCTAAGAACAGTAGAGGATCGGTGACTCGTTTCTTTTTCCTATGGAAAATTTGGAGCAACAGATCTGTAATTCTCCTGAGGAGAATGTATCCAGAACACTTCTTAATTGACTGCCATGCCAGTATTCCTGACTCGTGTTAACAGTAACATGCTGGTGCACGTTTCCAGAGTGGTTGTAAGCTAAAATGCTAGCACCCTCCTCAAGATAACAATGTCAATAGCCAAAAGACGTTTGGGACTGCTTCTTGGATTACTTGTGAACAGGGAGAAGCAAAACCACTACAATTTCCTTAAAATTTTACTGTATTACTTTCGGTAATTTCTTGTGAAGTTTTATACCGATACAAATATATTTAATCTAGATAAACAGATAACTTTTATTATCGAATTATCGGAGATAATTTTCGGTTACGATTATCGGAGTGGAGAGCGTACGCTCTACCCTCTACCCTCAACCTTTTCAGCCTCCTGGCCCTCTACCCATCAGCCTCCTGGCCCTCTACCCTCAACCCCTCAGCCTCCTGGCCCTCTACCCTCAACCCCTCATCCTCCTGGCCCTCTACCCCTCAGCCTCCTGGCCATCTACCCTCAACCTTCTCAGCCTCCTGGCCCTCTGGCCTCTACCCATCAGCCTCCTGGCCCTCTACCCTCAACCCCTCAGCCTCCTGGCCCTCTACCCTCAACCTCCTCAGCCTCCTGGCCCTCTACCCCTCAGCCTCCTGGCCCTCTACCCTCAACCCCTCAGCCTCCTGGCCCTCTACCCATCAGCCTCCTGGCCCTCTACCCTCAACCCCTCAGCCTCCTGGCCCTCTACCCTCAACCCCTCAGCCTCCTGGCCCTCTACCCCTTAGCCTCCTGGCTCTCCAACCTTAACCTTCTCAGCCTCCTGGCCCTCTACCCCTCAGCCTCTCGGCCCTCTACCCTGAACCCCTCAGCCTCCTGGCCTTCTACTCCTCAGCCTCCTGGCCATGTACCCTCAACCCCTCAGCCTCCTGGCCCTCTACCCTCTACCCCTCAGCCTCCTGGCCCTCTACCCCCTCTACAAAGTCACACTCAACTGCAAACCTCGTATCTCCAATGGCAATGCCGTCTGACAGGTTCTAGTAGGGCATTTTGTGTACTGGTCTTCCTGGCAGCACATACTGTCTCTCTGAATCACACTGCCGTCACACTTGGTACCATAGGGAGCGAAGAGCTTCTCCTTGTTCGATTTACAACAGTAATGTCCGTCGAAGAATGCGTTGGGATGGGAATCAGGACATTCTGAAATATAAACGGCGAATATCAAATGTACAGGGTGGGCCAAAAGTCAGTACCCATACGTTGGCCTTAATAGCTCCGCCGTGTTTTATATTTGAGAGCTGTTGCTTTGCAGATTGCATACTGTACTTACTGGTTCGAGGATTCCGTCGTCAAAATTTGAAAATTCGAATATTTTAGACCACGCCCATTCAATATTAAAACACCTATATTGTTTTCTCTGAACATGCTGAACGCCTAATTTTTTCAGAGACGGTAGATTATCAAATGTTACATATGATCTGAAAACATGAGGCAAAACGGATTAGAAATGACGAAGTTATCAAGCATTTTCTGTATCTCGTTAACAAAATTGACTGGGTGATTATGGGACACCGTGACACGACACCTTAATTGAGCACTCTTAACAATTCCCATAATGTTTAACGGGGTAGTTAACGGGGTCACCTTATCACGTGATTAGGTAATCCAATCACCTGATCACACGTAATGAATAAACTCGTTATGCTTCATATCTCGGTCATCTGAGAAGCTACAGTTTTAATTCTTTCAGGACAAACGTAATTCGAATGGCCAAACACAATTTAATAACATTAAGCTTGATCCAACTATCCAAACTATCAAATAAATGTGAAAATGAACCTCCATTTGAAAAAAATGAACGCGAATATTTTTCGAGTTGACAAATTCCTCGAACCAGTGGTGGTACTAAGTCATATCAGAAGGAAGTATTTAAATTGGGCACTCAGTGACTGAGCTATAAAGGCCAACGTATGGGTACTGACTTTTGGCCCACCCTGTATGAATATATTATGTAGTTCTACGACAATAAACGTGCAGAGAATTTCTATAACATCATCTGTGATCTGACTCAACATTCCCACATAGCAGCCTTGTAGCCTTTTCCTAAACATGAACTGGTTGGACAATTTGCGAGCATAGGATCTAGTTATGAGAACGGTGCTTATATCTAAAATTTCTTTGACAAAATCAAAAATCACCAACCTGGCTGAGGTCCTCGGTTACTCTGACAGGTTCCACTGGGGCAAGAAGTGTACTGGTCTCCTGCACAGCACAAACTGTCTCTCTGAATCACACTGCCGTCACACTTGCTACCTTGAGGAGTGTTTACCTTCTCCTTGTTTGTTTGACAACAGTAATCTCCGTTGTAGTAGACGTTGGGATGGGAAGCAGGACATTGAGGTTCTGTAATATCAGTTCAGTAGTAATTACACTTTTCAATACGTTGCTCGCTTATCAGTTACTTATCGTTAAATCGTTGATAAGACTGGCTTGTTTAACCGGTGCCGTGGTATGATGTATAAATGGGAGAAATACAAGAATTATAGGCTTGATGAAGTGGTAGATGATGGAGCTGAATGGATCCGGGATACTCTCAGGCTTGCTAAAGTAGAACATGTTAACGTGTGTACAGTTCAGAGCTTCAATGGTTAACGAGAAATCTCCAGGGAAGTCATGTCTAGGAGTCTTGATGCTGCATTAAAAATTATGTATAGTCATAGCTGTAAATATAAGAAAATAAAAATGTAGAACATGTAACTGCGAAAATTAGATAAACCAATATTTTATGAAACTGACGAATTTTATAGCTTAATCTGTCATTCTTTAAACTCACCATCATCTGTCTCATCACAATTGGACTTGTAGCCCTTTGCCAGGCATCCTTCATACTTTTTAGTCATCTTTTGGCATTTTTTCTGTGCTTTTTTCTGTGCTTTTTTCTGTGCTTTAACTATTTTGCGGTAGTTCCTTCCTTCATAATTACTTTCTTCAGTCAAAGTAATGAGTACCAGAACGATCACAACTAAGAAATACACTTTCATCTTCCTACGTCGCGTGTTTGAGTAATAAGTAGCAATGAAATTATAGGTTTACAGCCCTAAATTATCTTAATAAACTGCTACCCAATCTGGATCTCTGGATGATATGGAAAAGTTGTTTTGATATTATACCTATCAAACTGAATATGATATTTAACTCCAGTGTCCAAGAAAAGAGAAATAAAAGCAGTAAATTATAGAAGTATAGATCTCACTGACTTCCCATTATGTCATCAAGATATTTGAAAGAATTCTTCGAAAAATGTAATCCTGTACTTTGAATCTAATAAAATGATAACAGATACATGGCTTTAGAATCTAAAGTTTAGATCTGGCAGAAGCTCCTTGAACACTTGGAGAGTATCTCCCAAAACCTCCGGGAAAATAAAGAAACAGATGTCGTACATCTGAACTATGGAAAAGTATTCGACAGGGTTGAACACGAAATTCTGCTTGCCAAGGTAAAGAAACGTGAGACAAAAGAAAACTTACTGAAATGGCTCGGTGACGTCTCTGTGAAAAATGTAGATTCCAAACAGTCCTTGTTAATGGAAAACGGCCATTCCTAGCTAGCGTCCTAAGTGGTGTCCATCAGCCATCAAAACTCAGTACTGGGACCTCTTCTGTTCCTTTGTTTATATCAACGACTTAGTTAACACCATCCAGCAATCTCAAGTCAGTAGTTTTACTGACGAGACAAAGATTTCCAGAGCCATAATGAAAATATTTCAGATAAAGGAGTGTAACGCTAGTCTAATCTCACTACTTCAGATAAAATAGTGTAACGCAAGTCTAATCTCACTACTTTAGATAAAAGAGTGTAACGCAAGTCTAATCTCACTACTTTAGATAAAAGAGTGTAACGCAAGTCTAATCTCACTACTTCAGATAAAAGAGTGTAACGCAAGTCTAATCTCACTACTTCAGATAAAAGAGTGTAACGCAAGTCTAATCTCACTACTTCAGATAAAAGAGTGTAACGCAAGTCTAATCTCACTACTTCAGATAAAAGAGTGTAATGCAAGTCTAATCTCACTACTTTAGATAAAAGAGTGTAACGCAAGTCTAATCTCACTACTTTAGATAAAAGAGTGTAACGCAAGTCTAATCTCACTACTTTAGATAAAAGAGTGTAACGCAAGTCTAATCTCACTACTTTAGATAAAAGAGTGTAACGCAAGTCTAATCTCACTACTTTAGATAAAAGAGTGTAACGCAAGTCTAATCTCACTACTTTAGATAAAAGAGTGTAACGCACGTCTAATCTCACTACTTTAGATAAAAGAGTGTAACGCAAGTCTAATCTCACTACTTTAGATAAAAGAGTGTAACGCAAGTCTAATCTCACTACTTTAGATAAAAGAGTGTAACGCAAGTCTAATCTCACTACTTTAGATAAAAGAGTGTAACGCAAGTCTAATCTCACTACTTTAGATAAAAGAGTGTAACGCAAGTCTAATCTCACTACTTTAGATAAAAGAGTGTAACGCAAGTCTAATCTCACTACTTTAGATAAAAGAGTGTAACGCAAGTCTAATCTCACAACTTCAGATAAAAGAGTGTAGCGCAAGTCTAATCTCACAACTTCAGATAAAAGAGTGTAGCGCAAGTCTAATCTCACAACTTCAGATAAAAGAGTGTAACGCAAGTCTAATCTCACTACTTCAGATAAAAGAGTGTAACGCAAGTCTAATCTCACTACTTCAGATAAAAGAGTGTAACGCAAGTCTAATCTCACTACTTCAGATAAAAGAGTGTAACGCAAGTCTAATCTCACTACTTCAGATAAAAGAGTGTAACGCAAGTCTAATCTCACTGAACCTCTACCTACGGACCTTATACCACGACCTCCAAGTGACCCTCCCTCCTGACACGGCACACCAGGTGCTAATAGAGGTCCTGGAGAAGTCTCTTAGTTATGTGACTAGTAGATACTTAGCTGCCAGACCCAGCAAGACCAATAATAAACTTTACCTGTGAGTATATTTGTGTGATTCTAGTGTAACTCTAGTGACGTAATTTTACCTGTGAGTATATTTGTGTGATTCTAGTGTAACTCTAGTGACGTAATTTTAAATGACTTCAAAGAATGCTAACACGATGCTAACACACTGCTAACAATGCTAACTTTATAAATGTTGATGTGATTTAACTCTCCCAGGTATGATATAACAGCGATTGTTATGATTTACTCAACGTTTGTCTGGTTGCTCACGGGTAAAGATGTTACACAGGTAGTAGACATATTTTATGACATTTCGCCTAGTTCCTTTCCATTGACGAAATGTTATAGCTTGCTATATACAGCTTGCTAGTGATATCATTTAAGAGATGGAATTCTTCAAAGCAGCAAGATAATTTACCCACAGCTTGGTTGTTACTTAATGTTACAGTATACAGTAGAGTAATTAGTACAGTATAGTAACTAGTAATGAGTTATTAATTAGTAATTAGTATAGTATAGTAACTAACTACTTTCTGTTTCACTTATTTGGAGAAAGAAACTGGACCACATGTTTCCAGACAAGTTAACTTATTTACCCATCCTCAGATGACAGAACCAAGGGAAGGACCACTGATAGTCATCTACTCGGACCTGAACCGCCTCCTCGCGGCTATGTCAGTCATCACCTCCCCACTTCAAGCAGTAGTGGACACTATGAAACTGTTTCAAGACAAGGTCTACTTAAACTCGCACCATCTCGCACGGCCAGGTTGGTTACTACTACAGGTTAGGTACACTCTTCCATTCTAACGCGATTCTAGTTATAATGGATCAATATAAGTTGAATAACTTACTACTTTATTAAATTGTACTTATTCTCCTTGATCCCCCAGAAAGTGACGGTACAGGAAGCGGAGCGTGCGACTCTGCCCCCGTCCTCCCCCACAGCCACACCGCTGCCCCCTCCTCCACTCCTGTATCCTGGCTGCCCTCTATCTGGATATCTAGCCTCTTTACTATTGATAACCTGGACACTACTCTTATTTACTTGCTCAGGTTTTTGTTGTTTATACACACTCTCATTTACTTGCTCAGGTTTGTGTTGTTTATACACACTCTCATTTACTTGCTCAGGTTTGTGTTGTTTATACACACTCTCATTTACTTGCTCAGGTTTGTGTTGTTTATACACACTCTCATTTACTTGCTCAGGTTTGTGTTGTTTATACACACTCTCATTTACTTGCTCAGGTTTGTGTTGTTTGTACACACTCTCATTTACTTGCTCAGGTTTGTGTTGTTTGTACACACTCTCATTTACTTGCTCAGGTTTGTGTTGTTTGTACACACTCTCATTTACTTGCTCAGGTTTGTGTTGTTTATACACACTCTCATTTACTTGCTCAGGTTTGTGTTGTTTATACACACTCTCATTTACTTGCTCAGGTTTATGTTGTTTATACACACTCTTATTTACTTGCTCAGGTTTGTGTTGTTTATACACACTCTCATTTACTTGCTCCTGGGTTTGTGTTGTTTATACACACTCTTATTTACTTGCTCAGGTTTGTGTTGTTTATACACACTCTCATTTACTTGCTCAGGTTTGTGTTGTTTATACACACTCTCATTTACTTGCTCAGGTTTGTGTTGTTTATACACACTCTCATTTACTTGCTCAGGTTTGTGTTGTTTATACACACTCTCATTTACTTGCTCAGGTTTGTGTTGTTTATACACACTCTCATTTACTTGCTCAGGTTTGTGTTGTTTATACACACTCTCATTTACTTGCTCAGGTTTGTGTTGTTTATACACACTCTCATTTACTTGCTCAGGTTTGTGTTGTTTATACACACTCTTATTTACTTGCTCAGGTTTGTGTTGTTTATACACACTCTCATTTACTTGCTCAGGTTTGTGTTGTTTATACACACTCTCATTTACTTGCTCAGGTTTGTGTTGTTTATACACACTCTCATTTACTTGCTCAGGTTTGTGTTGTTTATACACACTCTCATTTACACACTCGCGTTTCACATGAACAACGCTACAACTAAACTTAATCTTTACAAAAAATAACGTTGTTTCCTGTACATTATGTGTGACCCTCTAATGCCTCTATGAGTCTATGTTGTCTCAGATGTTTTAACCAGAAGAATCCAGCTCACAAAGATCTGCTAATGACCGCTATTTCTAACGGAGCTAGGATACCCCAACAAATACAACTGTATCACAACAGGGAGACTAGTCGCTTTGATTACAGTGAGTTAATGAGACTATCTTAACCATAATGAGTTACAATTAGTGGTGTTAGTTAGTAGATAGTAATATGTAACGTTAGAACTAGTTACAATAATAATTAATTAGTAAAATGTAACAATGTTTTAAAATATTTCACCTAGTAACAAGTTAAACTCCTGTAAAAAGTGAGGACTTTCAAATCAATTATAAAGACTTAAAGACATACCGTCAATTAGCAATTTAGTAATATTTAAATGAGTAACAAGTAATGTTAATTAGCAATTTAGCAATATTTAAATGAGTAACAAGTAATATAAATTAGCAATTCAGTAATATTTAAATGAGTAACGAGTAATGTTAATTAACAATTTAGTAATATTTAAATGAGTAACAAAGTAACAAGTAATGTTAATTAGCAATTTAGTAATTTAAATAATGTTAATCAGTAAAAGTAACAAGTTCACCTCCTGTAGACACAGTAGTCCTGACCCTCTCCCGCCTGTTAGCAAGCTGCAAGTACGACACCACCTCCTGGGCCACATTTATCCTCTCCACCTTCATACCTAACGAGATCTGGAACTGTGTTAGTAAACCCAACTTCAAGTTCAGTAGGCCAGGCGAGAGTGAGGACCTTTGGCAGGTGATTGATGCTGAGTTACCTTGACAACCTTGTAATTGTGAAACTTTTGATGAGACAAACTTGATAATATGTTTTAACTTTATTAAGATACCTAAAACCAACAAAGATGTAACGAAAAATAAAACTTACTTTTCTGCCAGGATTGTATAGGAGAGGTGCTGTTCCCTGCCCTGGAACCTATCCTGTATGAGGTGTTGAACCTTGTGGTACACCGCACCAAGATAATGCCCTCAACTGAGGAGGAAGTGGCAATTGAGGAGCTACCCTGCTCCTGTAGGATAAACCGCTTCTCTACTCCAAGTTAGTACTTAGTGCTCCTGTAGGATAAACCGCTTCTCTACTCCAAGTTAGTACTTAGTGCTCCTGTAGGATAAACCGCTGCTCTACTCCAAGTTAGTACTTAGTGCTCCTGTAGGATAAACTGCTGCTCTACTCCAAGTTAGTACTTAGTGCTCCTGTAGGATAAACCGCTGCTCTACTCCAAGTTAGTACTTAGTGCTCCTGTAGGATAAACCGCTGCTCTACTCCAAGTTAGTACTTAGTGCTCCTGTAGGATAAACCGCTTCTCTACTCCAAGTTAGTACTTAGTGCTCCTGTAGGATAAACCGCTTCTCTACTCCAAGTTAGTACTTAGTGCCCCTGTAGGATAAACCGCTGCTCTACTCCAAATTAGTACTTAGTGCCCCTGTAGGATAAACTGCTTCTCTACTCCAAGTTAGTACTTAGTGCCCCTGTAGGATAAACCGCTTCTCTACTCCAAGTTAGTACTTAGTGCCCGGCCCCTGTAGGATAAACCGCTGCTCTACTCCAAATTAGTACTTAGTGCTCCTGTAGGATAAACCGCTTCTCTACTCGAAGTTAGTACTTAGTGCTCCTGTAGGATAAACCGCTTCTCTACTCCAAGTTAGTACTTAGTGCCACTGTAGCCTGTAGGATAAACCGCTTCTCTACTTCAAGTTAGTACTTAGTGCCCCTGTAGGATAAACCGCTTCTCTACTCCAAGGTAGAACTTAGTGCCTCTGTAGGATAAACCGCTTCTCTACTCCAAGTTAGTACTTAGTGCCCCTGTAGGATAAACCGCTTCTCTACTCCAAGTTAGTACTTAGTGCTCCTGTAGGATAAACCGCTTCTCTACTCCAAGTTAGTACTTAGTGCCCCTGTAGGATAAACCGCTTCTCTACTCCAAGTTAGTACTTAGTGCCCCTGTAGGATAAACCGCTTCTCTACTCCAAGTTAGTACTTAGTGCCCCTGTAGGATAAACCGCTTCTCTACTCCAAGTTAGTACTTAGTGCTCCTGTAGCATAAACAGTGTTACACAATGTTTAACTGCTCTCAGCAATTTCAAAGTTCAAATTTGCTTAGGGCCATAAAAGGCATGGCTCTTATCAATCGATATAAATAGCACAACAATTGCTGTGTACTATGAAGCAAGTATATTTTTAAACTTGTAAACTTGTAAACTTGTAAACTTGTAAACTTGTAAACTTGTAAACTTGTAAACTTGTAAACTTGTAAACTTGTAAAATTGTAAACTTGTAAAATTGTAAAGTTGTAAAATTGTAAAATTGTAAGGTGTATTGTGTACTAAAGTTATTGTTGTCAGGTTTGAAGGTGGTACTCCACGAGTCACTATCAGCAATATTCACACACCTTAGTCTGGTAGCTCCCTCTATCAGAACCACAGTTGTCAAGCTGACCAGGATGCTGTGTTTTAGAGCAAAACTCAAGGAAGATTCTGAAATACCTGTTCTCAAACTTGTGAGTCTGTTATTCTATAAATGAACAAATAAATAAATAATTAAATAACTTAAGTTATTTACTTTCCGTCAATAATTGTATAATAGAAATACCCGAGAGTCTCCCCAATATTTTATTACTACGCCCAGTTTTAATTATCCTCTCTTTTAACAGTTCCTGGCGTTTTTCCTGAAGAGACTGTTTATGAATCCGAATGAAATCTGCCGGAAGTTTCACGCTGTAACAAGAGACTCTGTATCTAAAAACCGAAAATATTCATCAAAACTACCATTTGTTGATATTCCTGAAGAAAGTTTATCCATCTTGAGAAAAGTAGGGGATATAAGTCGACTTATCGTGATGAAAGATGTTCTGAGTAAGTATTTATTTGTCTGATCAAGTAAAAGAATATTGCATTCGTAAGATATTCAGTGATTGCACATGCCTCATACGTGTATTGATTACTTAAATTATTACATTTGACCTGATATAATTAATTAATCGTTGTTAGATGTTATAACGCTACCTACTGGAGCTGAGAAATATTTTGAGGAAGAGAACCAACTAGTTGATCACTCTTTAACCTCTCTCCACGACCAACTTACTCTTACTCTTAATCTATCCAGGTATTTAAATATTTTATTATCTAATGCTGTGCTTCTCACCATTTAACATTTATGAACAGATTTTACACCCAATTTCGCAGTAATTACAATTGACGAGGGTTTTCTTGGTGTTAAGTATGTCTACATACTGAACCTTTTCATAGAAGGAACCAATATTTTCAGTTCGTTGAATTCTGTGCAGCTGGATTACGATCTGGAGTACATCAGTGGCACATACCCCGAAATATTCAATAATTTTCATCTAATGATGGACGAAATTACTGTAGGTTTTTTCTAATGATATCGCCCGAATTCTTAATTCATACCTGCATTAAATTTCCAGAACACTGTAGCTCTGGGCCTAGCATGATCATAATACAATACGTCATGGAAATTGTCAAGATTGGAACAGCTCCTTGAGTGACCGCAAATGATAAACTTTCAAAAAGGTCTTCTCAAAAAGCAAGACGTAGCGCGCGTTCGAAATATTTCTTTGTTCTAAGCGCCAAGCTAAGATTGTGTTTGCGCGCGCGCGCTATATGATATATTTTATTATGTTATTATATTATATATATATATTATTATATATAGCAGGCAGATAGATAGCGAGCACTGGATTTTGGCGAATAATGTACTCATATGATATATCATGTTCTCGGCTTCAGAATATCTTTTAGTTGTAAAGTAATATTATATAGTCCGTTGTAGTCTGGACTAAACTTTTGATCCTGAAAGCTTTTCTCTAGCTAATATATTGTGCTACTCGCTACTGGATCGCAGAAGTTTGAAGTGTTATTTCTCCCAGGACATAATTTCCAACGACTTTTCTTCAATACTAAAGACTGTCAAACTACTTCCAATTAACCAGCTTAATCCCTTGGACGAATACAAATCTTTCGGTACGTATAAAAATATTGGAATGATGAAGATATTTACTTTTCTTGATGCAAAGTTCAAACTTTTTCCAAAAGATAACTTCGAGATCGTCGTTTTTAACTGAAGTGTCGTGAAACTGCTTAACATGTAAACTAATGAGTATTATTTGACCAGGTTGCTTCTCGTTAGACGATGTGAGCTACAAGGAGTGGAACCACGAGAGGTTATCAGAGTATTACACTACTGATTTGTTTGTCCACTTCCTACCCCATAGGTATGTTCATGCTTGACAGAGGAATTTCACTTTTGTGGACAGAGTGATCACAGTGTAATTTCTTTATTTTAACCTTTTTTAAAGCGAAGTGGAATGGGCGTGGACAGATGCCTGCATTAACTTTATGATAAGTTTGAGACTGATAAATTCGCGGTCCACCACTTTCAAAGAGTTGTTGTTTTGATGATAGTTTTCTTCAGGTGGGAGCTAGCAGATGAGGGAACGATTCCAGAGGAAATTTCTGAGTTGGTGGATATCGTTCGAGCTTTTCTGTCTAAACATACGCATACGTAGTAGCTCTGGTAGACTAGGCTGAAACAAACGTGTCAGCTCTGGTAGACTAGGCTGAATTATGATTGATTAATATTATTATTTTTTGTTTGATATTAGTATTTGAATTGCTGTAAATGTTTGTTAATCTTATAAATAACTATTATTTTCTTCGCAACCATTAATTCTTCTGGGTTGTTAACTAAAATACTTAATTTTTAATTTTACAGGTTTGGATTTTAAATAAGCATCAGTCATACATTTATTTTTGCTAATGAAGTTGCAAAACTATTTACATTAACGATTTCATTGGTTGATGGTTCAGGTTTTATTCAATTAATTTTTTTAACGATCAGTCGCCATTTAGAGGATCAGAAATTTGTTATGTTTTGAATAATTCATGATTTTTACATTGTGCTTTTAAATGTTAAATGCTCGATCGTATTATCATAAATTCAATGTTTATGCATAAATTACTTTTACAGTAGCTGCCATTTAATTCTTAAATACATATTATTTTTGCTAATATCTACTTTTACTGCGCTCTTTCAATTTGACAATATGCATTTTTAAGTGAAAAAAAAAATGCATTTTTAAGAGATGTGCCCCAATCAAAAAATTATCTTCAGTGATTTGTTTCTATCTAAAAAAGTAGATCATGGCTAAGTTTTAAAGTGCACTTTATTTTTATAACGCACTTATCATGTTCAGATGATGTCATGAGCAACTCCCAAACGTTTGATAACCAGAGCTTTGACTACCAGGAACCTCACAGCTCCAACAGCAGGAAGAGGTCCCTACCTTCTTCCCACCATGACAACTTGTTCGCTAAAGCACACAGGGCGAGTGAGGAGGCAGGGCTGGTTCCGTTAGAGCACAGTCCAGGTTTTAAGGTTTTGCCTAGTCGGGAGTTTGATAAAATAAAGGAAGCACAAAACATGGGATATCATAAGAAGTCGTGTACTTATCAGAGTCACCGAACCAAGCAGGTTACTTGTTATTAATTATTAACTTGCGATTATTATGACGTCATAGTATGATTTTCTGTTTGTTAAATCACGTTTAATTTCACTTAAAGTTATCTCCATACTTTTCACTCTTATAGCAATATATCATAAGTAATGTAAATATCTCTCAGGGGTCTCACAAGAAACTTTGCTACTATTCCTCCGCTCACGAGCGGGTAACAGCCCGCCGTCTCTTAGACTCTCGCATTAATGTGACCGACTTCGAACGCTCTATCAGAAGCCAGTTCTCCGACCTATGCTGTTATAATTATGCGGAGATTATCGCTGCTTGTTACCCGGCGATGGATTACCGCAAAAGGTGGATTGTTCTGGAAGAAAACGGTTCTGGTCAGAGGTTTATTCAACATAGGAGTTTAACAGAGGACACGAAAGCGAACATTAAAATGTCCTTATCAAGGTCTGACAGTTGCACTGGTGTTAAGAATAAACTGATTAGGAATAGAGTTATACCAACTATCCGTCATCTTTCCATGTACGACGTTCTCATGTCTGTTTACGGTGGAGAATTTTATCGGAAGAACAATTTAGTCAGACAATGTGGTCCGATATCTGATCTAGCAGATCGGATGATAGAACTTTATAGGTGCCGGGAGAAAGCCCTGATATCCCCCATAACCAGCATTATAAGTCAACAAGACTGCAGATTAACAATGGAGCAGAAGTATGCTGTTATCGGGGTCCTCCATCAGGCCACCAATGTAGACAGCATCAGGAAGCAGCTAGCTCGGATGTTTCCCGAGTCTTTCTCTCCTCGCTCAACTATTGACATTTTAGCTGCTACATTTGGGAGTTACAAACAAGTCTGTATAGAAACTAAGTCCAGGGAGGAGGACCCGAGTGAAAGGACTATTATCCTTGGAGAGAAATTCTCCTGTCAATCAGTGTTTAAAGCTTTGGAAGATCAGCGCAATCAGGAAACAGGTAAAGATATCAAGAAAGGAAAGAAAAAGAAAGGATGGAAACCGCAAAGGAAATTAAAAGGCCAGATTATACCCATGTCTTTTTCTAAAGGTAAAGGGAACCTTGTTTGATTATCTCACACACTACTCTAGTAGCAGGGAGGGGTGAATATACAACACACGCATGTTAATTCAGATGTGCATATTTGATGGAATTGGGTTGCAAGGAACACTGCTGAAGATGAGTGATCCTAAGGAAGACTGAATTTAGACCAGAGGTGAACACACCGCGGCATAATTGTTACAATGGTCATTAAATGCACCTTGTTCTAGGGTGTTTTGACATTATTTAAGTGTTGGATGGTGGGAAAATTTGGGTCATATTCCCGTGATATCGTCATCTTTTATTTTGAGAATATTTATTGCAATAATTTATAGACAATTTTACTGTCGCACTTTATAATTTTTTTGTTTTGATTTTATGTGATGTTAATTAATTATTTTATAGCTAATTTTCTAATTCGCCGGAGGACTCCAATTTTAAACTCATTTTCTCAGCTCAAGTAATCAATTGAATCCTGAAATGTAATATTTGTCACACAGTTTCTTAGGTTCGCATAACCACAACTCCCCCAACGAATAGTACATGACGTAATAACCATGTAGAAACCATGAGAGCAGGGTGCCGCTATTATGGAAGGGTTTATCTGCCCCGAGTGCAAGGAGTCATTTCAGACAGCAGGACTTCTCGAGGGGCACTTTAGCACCCACTTTGAAGGTCCTTCCATCAAATGTAGGGTATTTAGAAGCTTAGAGGTTATTTTATTAACGTTTTAGGAATTATGAATCTGAATTAACGATGTTCATTTACTTACCTTTGATCTATACTCGTATAGCACTATATAATTCACATATTACAGTAATACCCCAATACAATTTACCGCGGAGTTTGTGAGAAAGGAAAAATCCGCGGTAAATCGAGGTTTTGATTGTTTACATTATGTTAAGCCCTATTTGGGGGAAGGGGATGGTCGCAGTAAATTGGGGTGCGGTAAATCGGGGTTTTACTGTATGTACTTTGTCTCTAAAAATAAGAGGTAATTGCCAATAACCAACTAACATATCTCTCAGCAATCTTCAGCAAAGCTAAAGACTACACACTAAGCTGGATAGTAAATGAGGAGGAAGGAACACCATCAGTAGGTCCCGGATCTAGTGGCTCTGGTTCTTCTACCCCCAACTTTACACATGAACACAGGCAGCCATACAATGAGGAGCAGTTCATCGGTATAGACATTTACTCATTTTCTTATATCCTGTTTAAATCCTGTTTAAATCCTGTTTATATCCTGTTTAAATCCTGTTTATATTATGTTTACATCCTGTCTATATTCTGTTTAAATCCTGTTTATATCCTGTTTATATCCTATTTATATCCTGTTTATATCCTGTTTATATTCTGTTTATATCCTGTTTATATTCTGTTTATATTCTGTTTATATCCTGTTTATATCCTGTTTATATGTTCCCTCAGGAAGATTTACCAACCTGACGAAGGTATTCAAAGCAGTCAGACCAAAACGTATCAGTCACTCTCAAAAGGAAGCGAATAAGCTTCATCTCCGTCTGGACAAGCTGGTCTGTGCTTTACTCACTGAGATTAGGGCGGGGAAAAAGAATTTGAAAGGTATGAATCCCACAATAAAGACATGCTTTTTTATTCTCTTGATTGTTTACAGTGCCACCATATTTGTTTGACACATGACAGTAATTCTAGGTTTTTATTGGTTAATGCGCTAACTTTGCAGAGGTAGAGAAGAGTGTGATACCGTGGAATGATGACAGTGATGTGTGTGTAAGCTGCGGAGAGATATTGAGTGTCTTACAGCTGGCTAGAAAACATCACTGTAGACTTTGTACTGGAATTCTCTGTTCTAATTGTAGTCGGGTCAGTGCTCCTTCTTCAAATTTTATTATTATCATTAAATTTAATTTGTTAAATTTTAGTTTCATGCACATAATCTGTGTTAGTTTGTTAAACTTTCGGAGATCGGCAAAGTTGAATTAACTGATAAGATTTCATTCTAGCTCGTAACATTCAAACCTCACACTTGACCCTAGTTTGTACCATTAAGTTTCACCCTACAGTTTGTACCATTAAGTTTCACCCTACAGTTTGTACCATTAAGTTTCACCCTAGTTTGTACCACTAAGTTTCACCCTACAGTTTGTGCCGCTACAAGAAGCGGTAGAAGCGGTAGAGAGACCGGAGCCGGAGTGGTTGGAGGGGTTCGTGCACGATCTAAGGCTCTGTGACAAGTGTCAGAACGTAATTATCAGGTGAGACTGCATTTGTAGAATATACAAGATATGAAGCTGATAATTTAACGGTGGAGCAAACAATACAGCTTTGGGTTTTTATATTTGTTTTATTCCCAGTGCTAAGGAGGAGATAAAAACCAAGAACTCCGATCACACAATGGAGGAGAATTACAGGAAACTGTTGGAGGCAAGAGAAAAGTGCAACAGTCTGGTTGATGTTTATACCCGTATATCTTATTCGCTGAGGTGGGATTCTTATACCGATAACTGATACCATGTCTACCTACACAAGAGAGAATATAAAATAGAAACATGTATTAGAAACCTAAACTAGTCGGCGCTAATGTAAATATGGTTTTTAAACCGCCGTGTTTAGGTTCAGCCGAAATAGATTTTAAGCTAATGTTTTTTTTTGTAATACATTGATGTAAAATTTATTTGAATTTTGAAATTAAAAAAAATGAAACTTGCTGTGTAAGGTAACGTTTCAGACTGACTTAACATTTGAATATTTGGTTTCCTCAGGAATGGAGACGCTACCTATACCCTTGATGAAGGAAACGTTAAAAGAGTCGAGCTTATCAAGCAGTTTAAAATTGTGGACACTTTTAGGTTTGTTAATTTTTATATTCTTTACTATCTAGTATCTACCACGATATAATGGTCAGTGTTTGATAGTAAATATTTTCATGTCAGCTTGCTAGTACCGATTAAAACTTGCCAGATGACGTTAGACAGCATAGATTTGTATTTTATTCTGCCTTTTCAATATTAATCTTCGTACAATGTAGCACTAGTATCACCCAACAGTAGCACTGATCTAAACAGATCATATTCAGTGAGCGTATAGCGGGAATAAGAACAAGCTCTCCAACACAACTAAAAGTACAAACCAATGTAAGAACTGCTACAAGATCATATCTACAAGATAACCTGCCAACTACTGCTCCTCTTCCTGAACTAAAGGAGATCAGTGAGATACAGGTACACTGTACAGTACATCCCCCATTTACCGCAAATCTTGGATATTTCTGTACTTAGTAAATTTTAATATATTGTTAAATTGTGGTAAATAGTTTAATTTGTGTCTTGGTAGATACTTTTTAAGTGTAACGTTTTGAAACTTCAAATAGGCTAACCTTTGTTGAAGTTCCTGTACTTTGTTCAGGAGCAATGAGCTCAAATGTCAATAAGGTCTAATAGTAACCATGGTAACCAATAGTAACGATCATTTTGTCCCACAGAAACGGCGATTAGAAGATAGCAGAGCCGCGATACAAGTTCAAAAACAAGAGGCTCTCAGAACTCAAAATCCATCACCTCCGACGGTTTGTTTCATTATTTTATCAACTTGATATCAATTAACAGCCTATTTGTCCGGCCTATATTTATAAATATGTAACTAATTGTATGAATATTATACTAATTATTCTAATTATTGGTGTAATCTCAGGAAAATGTCGTATCCCCGTTTACTGTCGTAGAACCCCAACCCAGAGACGGCTGGAGCACCAAGTCCAAGAGAACAGAGATATCACGTGACATTGCTCGCGAAAAGGCGCGCGAGAAAGTGCGGGAAGGAGAGGGAGGAGCGGGGTGGACCGGGGAGGCGGTGCAGCCTAAAACACGGGCCACCCTCTGTTGGAGCAGAAGGAGATACTGAGAGGGTATCTGAGGCAGGTGGGTGTTCATTTATTGATATTTGTTAGGTTAACTTGTTTATTGTACTGTGTAAGTATTGGTGAACTAAAAAACTTACTGCTTTGATTAAACATTTCCTAGATAGATGAATAAATAAATCACGTTTGGATTGGATAGGTGTACATCTTTTGTGTTTATTTTATTTTAATGATTCAAGAAGAAATACAAATTATTCAATATTTTTCTGTGATCTACAAATACCTATTGTCAATTGGTAAATAATAATTAAACGTTACTGTTAAAAATTTTCAAATGAATTCCACACTCCACAATACACAATTAGGGAAATTTAGGAAACCATTTAAATGGTTTCCTAAATTTCCCTAATTGTGTATTGTGGAGTGTATAAATGCATTTATAATCAGTTAAAATATATATTAGAACTGTCTTAGAACATGTATAAATTGATTCGCACGGTAATTTTATTCGAGTGATCGATCACTCAAAATACCATTGAAATAAACATAACAGTGTAAAATAGTGTAAAAATGTGTACCTTTTTTACTACACTTTTTACTACACCAAACACAAAAAGTAAGTGGCGTACTCACTAGTCACTGTAATTTTGTTACCATACACAGAAAAAACCTTTTTGTCATTAAATATAAATCATTTAATAAATCATTTAAATATTACAACGTATTATGCTGGTGGACCATTGAATCCACATTGAATCCAGATTATACTAGAACTTACAGCTAATTAAATTCTGTTATTATGGATATGGTGTTATTTTCAGGCTCAGCGTGATAATCGACAAGAAGAGATAGATACCTTAAAACAGAACCTTCACATGATCCTGGATGAGATCAGATTACTGGGTTTGGAGGACACGTGATATACAAATCAGAAGGTACCCCCTACAAGTCACATGGTCAAGTCACGTGGTCAAGTATCGTGGTCAAGTCACGTGGTCAAGTCACGTGGTCAAGTCACGTGGTCAAGTCACGTAGTCAAGTCACGTGGTCAAGTCACGTGGTCAAGTCACGTGGTCAAGTCACGTGGTCAAGTCACGTGGTCAAGTCACGTGGTCAAGTCACTTGGTCAAGTCACGTGGTCAAGTCACGTGGTCAAGTCGCGTGGTCAAGTCACGTGGTCAAGTCACTTGGTCAATTTGCAAGTATAACTATTTCATAATTCAAATGGCGAGGGCATGAACATGACGAAAAATACTCTAATTTTGATCCAAGATATTTAATTAATTCTGATTAAGATTGATTATGGATTACTATTGAGACAATTTTATATGATTTGCAGCTTGTTTAATTTCAAATGACATGTTCATGTAAACTACAACTGAAATTTTAAAGATAAGTAAAGTAAGTAATGCTAAAAATGTATAACTTTAACTTGTCCTTAAAATTTGTGTGATGACCAGACATGGTTCCATTATGGAAATATGCAAAGGACGCACGGTCAAATACCTACGTAATATAATTATAGTTTGCCAGTCTACCGCTAATACTAATTTATGCTAATATACTAAATCAGCTAGCCTTATCGAATGCTAGGAATAGTACGGTTATTTTCGGAACTGTTTTTAGTTTTTAGTTATGATGCTAAGTGTAAATTATACGCTCTGACGACGTAAGTTCAGATCAAATTGACCCAGTAATAATGGTGATATGTTAAAGCTTTAAAGAGTAAGCTGTTTGTCTGACTTTTGAACAATTGATTATTTGATAATGATATACATAGTTTCACTTTTCTTGAATTGGTGAAAAAGTAATTGACTTCGAGAACTAATGCACGATTGTCGTAAAAATTCGGGCTACGAAACTAGCCCATTAACGTGCACGTTGTCGCTACTTTTAAATGATTGCTAGCCAATAAAACACTATTCCCAACAGAAACAATTACCAATTACCAATAATCTTCCAAATTAATTATCTGCTCAAATCGTGAGAGGAAGCTGATAATAGTTATACCGTGTAGGTACACTCTTTAATCTGAACGATACGTGATACTATATGCTTATATGCTACTGGTAAAACAACACACCCACACATACAGTGTACACACTCTCGCCCTCGGGTGCAAGGGTTGCTTTCGGGCTGATACATAGTACTTCGGAATAAAGGCGAGTTAGTGTCCAATCAGCTGAGGTTTATGGAACTGTGTAGTGCTGCTTAATTTATCACAATTGTAAATGGGAAAAGCGAGTGACCGATTTCATTCTCGGTATCATTTTGCATTTGAGGACGGTTATTCAAATTGACATCATTTCCTTTTGTTTGGGAAAGGGAGACATTGGCAACGGTGCAATCTATTCTACCCAATTATGGGGTTTGGTAAAATACTATAATATTAATAATACTATAATAGCTGCTAATCTGATCAACTAATTTCACGAGCACTTTTCCTTTCTTGTATAATTTTATCTGCAGTCTGTTGGTGTGTAAATTTTAATTGTTAACCTGAAGAGGTAAGTCTACTGCTTCAGGGCAGACGTAGTAGTAGACACTGCTGTTAATTTAGCTAGTATTAAATTACGGGTATTGAAGTCTCGCAGCACACAGTTCCCCACAATAAAGTGTTAATTGAGCCGCTGGGTCCTGTAGAAGCTAGATATTTGTTGGTTTGATATTTACAGGATATATATATATATATAAGTATATAGGATGGTTGCCATGAAAGTCACGTGTCAAGCCCTTAGCCCAGCGCCCTGCACCCACCCAGATATCAACATAGCCTAGTAAAAAGGAGTTTCAGACACCCTGGCTATAAAGCTATAACTCTACACACCTCACTAGAGATGGTTTGTACTCTGTGCCCACGTGTGCGCGTCACAGCTAATACAGCTCCAGTAACCACACAGTCTGTCACCAGGACTCCAACCTGCACTACAACCCAACAACCTGGTGAAGTTTACCAGTAAAACATCAACGGAGTGTCAGAGAGAGAGTGTGTTAACGCGTCGGAGCAGTTAAAAACATAGCTCTTCATGCGTGACGGTCAGCTCCTCATGCGCTGCGTGCACGTGGGCGTGCTGCTCCGTGTTGTGGGCATGACTGGACCAGCCAGCATTTGAGTCACGGTCCCTCGCCAGCCTAGTGAGATCTAAGTCTCTCTGCACCTGCTCTCTTCCTTCCAATCCCACTCTTGAAATCTAATCCGATACTATCATGAAATCTCGTGATGGGTACATGGTAACCAGGGCAACATCACGTGGTAGTTCTGCCGCGCGCGTGCAGCCCACGTGGTAATCACGTGCCCCATATTGTTGGTATGAGTACGATAAGGAGTTGCACGGAGTCACGAGGCACATTGTGGCTCCGAGTAAGCAAGCACAGACCTCCGCACTGCGACTACATTACAGCCCAACACTTTTACCAAGTCGTCATGACACGCGGGGCTTCAGATCATTGATTATTGGTCAGTTCCCACAACGCAACTCTCTGAGTGGTCGTCAGGTACTTGCAACCCTTCTCGTCTATCAATACCCTAACCGTCTGCCTGTTATCCAGCTTGTTATCCAACTTGTTATCCAGCTTATATGGACGTGTCTGCTGTTCAGCTTTGTCCTACTCGTCCTACTTTATATCCTACTCATCCTACTCTGCCCAGCTTATCTGTTCTGTAGAGTCTATCCCCGGCCAGATACAACTTCACAGGTTCTGAGTTCTGTTCTGTTAATTGTTGAGTATGTTTCTAATTAGCTGAACAGGTATGAAGCCGTACTTTGAATGCTTGTTCAATTGTTTGCAGAATACGTTCAAACTTGATTCAGCTTGGTCAGCTGGAATTTATGGTTTTTGTTATGTTTTTGTAGTTGTGGAAAGAAGGTTTGATCACTGTGTGTTGAAACTGGTATAGCCCTGATCCTTGTTCTTTGTTCCACTGGTACCAGTTTATATTCTTCAGTTTAGAATAATTTCCATTGCTATTTTACAGTGCTGTCCAGTGTCCTTTAAACTTTTAAAGCCATTCCCCGTGTGCTTTACAGCTATAGTCCGAAGCTGATCCCCCACTGAAAGCAAACAAAGTCGCTTTAAATTTACGAAAAGTTTCATCGAACTAAAGCGCTGGCTAGGGAACAAAAACATATCTACTCCAGTTTTACCAACTATAATTCACCAATTAGTCAGAGCCCAATCATTTCAATTTGCTGTAGAGTTATCTATAAGTCTATAAGTATAACCGCCTTTGTTCGCTTACATTTAGCAAATACAAGCCAAGCATGCTAATCCTCGTCAATTGGGCATATTATATTTATAATTATATGATCATATCACAATACCTCAATACTTCAATACCACCAGTTTTGTGAATTATAATACCAAGATAACCATATTCGACAATAATGCTAATAATCTCTCTTTGATGAGGCTAGGAGGTGTTAATATTACAATGTTCGATGATTAGATTATTAATGACTAATTAATATATTATGTAAGGGTGGAGGGTCCTATCCTACTGAAATTCAATAGTCCAATTATTGACATCGTTTCAATGTAACGAAGTCTCATTTACCTTTTTATTCCTGACGATAATCATATTTGTAGCGATGTTAAGCATTTGTCATTAGTTGCTGTTTCGTCAGCTCATTTCTGACTAATTTTTTTACATTGACAGTGATTTGTATTAGTATTTTTGTTTCAGAGTTAGCAAAAAAAATATCCAGTTAAGGCATATTGCAATCTAATTTTATCGTTAAGTGGATTCCAGAGTATGTTTATAGTTTTTAGTTCAGCCTCTTTTTATACCCTATACTAGCATTACTTTTAATATAATATATAACTATAAGTAATACTGGTATATATACATTATACCAGTATTACTTCATTAATCATTAGTCCATTGGATACTTCTTACTTTACTTCACTTGATCCCGATGTGTTACCGTTAACTGACGACAACTTTCCGCATATTCACATATTCTCGCATATTCACACATATTCTCGCATGTTCTCACATGTTCTTATTGTGTATCTCTCCGAGACAAAGTACTAAAGTAAACAGTTCCATAAAGTTCAAAATAACCAAAATATCCTATCCTGTCAGTAGAAATCAATAATAATGAATCATAATATATAAGTATATTCAGAAACCATCTAGTTATTATTAAATCAAAGTTCTAAACAAGGGATAGTTAAAAAACAACGCCCAAGTCTAATCTTTCCCTAAAACGAAAACTAAAAATCAAAAACTTCGTTGCAATTCCCGCCAATATCTCTAATTGTCATACGCTAAATTACGGAGATAATGCAGGTCAAAGATATTATTCAAATAAATATTTCTTTTACATAAATCATGCACAATCAGCGAGAATAGATTGCTTTGAGGTCTTCCTCTTCTCCCTGGACTCTACGGCGTAAGACTCTAAGGCGTGAGACTCTAACCCTAACCCTAACCCTAACCCTATCCAAAACCCAAACCCTAACCCGCCGTAGAGTCTCACGCCGTAGAGTCTTACGCAGTAGAGTCCGGACCCCTACTACTACTAATACTACGTTCGGTAATATGGTCAACTTTAAAACTGTTAAACACGCTCTTAGCAGCTGCTGTCTGCAGGCAGTTTTAACTGCCCTTTGCTTTAACAGCTGTCACTAAGTTAGTTGTCACACATCCGGGCACTCCATAACTTTGTCTCAGTCACACATCCGGGCACTCCATAACTTTGTCTCTGTCACTCATCCACTGTTATCATTACTGTGACAATTACACCGTACATAGTGTGAAACTAATGGAAGCTTTTTAATCCAAGTTTATTGAACCTTATTGAACCTTATTGGCTCAAGATAAGGCTTTTTGTTCATAATATTGCCATGTGGAATCGGGGATCACGATTTAAAACATCATTCCGTCCAATAAAAATTAAAAAATTAGAAGTAATGAAATAATGTTTTATTTCTTCTGGCTACCCGGGCCCAGATTCCTAAAGTAACTTTGTGGCTTCTGGTACGTAACTTAAAGAATTTTCATTGTGTTATGTATTTGGAGATTAACATATAATGTTGTGTTTGATATTAGAAATATTACTTATCCATACATAATAACAATACATAATGCATAGTTCTATAGAATCTACGTGTATTCGAGAATAATGTAGATAACACTAATATTACTAATATTACTAATATTTCTAATGTTACCGTGATGAGGTAACCTCTTATACGGCGTAATGGATACCAGACAATCCTTACTTAACAAGACAGTCGGACTCACTAATTTAATAAGACTAATAATCACCTGACCAACGATGAAAGTAAAGTAACTGGATACCATAGTACTATAAGGCGCCATCACCAGTAAAATACGATTTGCGGTGATCAGGCACATAGTGCCGACTAACGAGGCCACATATGGTGCCGACTAAACTGAGGCACAGCAATTGTCAGCGATATATAAGGGCGTGAGCGAGAGAGGTTTTTTAGAGAATAGCTCTAATCTTAAGGAGATCATGCAAAGCATTTATTTCACACAATGTTCGAAATTTCTAAAAGATAAAAATCTCTTCTTATGTTCCGTATTTTCTGAAGTAGAACGTCTGCAGCCGATCGCACGTCTGTTTCCACATACAGGAAGTGAATTGTCTATAGGTACCGATATCGACTCATAGCATTGTCAGAAGTTGAACGCTTGTTTGAGTGTGACGAGTCCATGATCTCACTAATCGCAAGTCACAGCTGTCCTACTGTAAGTCACTAGTGATAACAGCTTATAGATTACACATCATTAGTTAATTC